AGTGGATTTAGCATATGCAAAAGTGCCAGCTTGACAGGCTTAGACAATGAAGTTCTCTATTTTTTCACATTACACATACAGCAACAGTGCAAGCTTCCCAATCTTGCTTCACCAATGTGCCTTAATCCTTCTGGATCTGAGACAGTAGTTTCAGGCCCATTCCTTCCTTGTCTTCTTCACTAAAGTGATGCTGTATGATTGAATATGACCATTTGTATCATTATTGCTACCACTGTTCTACAGTGGCAACAAATCTTGTACAAAGCAAGTCACATAAGGTGTCAATGGAAAAGTTATGATTTGCTAAGTATGATTATCCTGTTTATATGCATGTATCATCTTTGTATCTGAAGTTATGAATATTGGCTATGGATTGGTATTTTACATTTCTGGGTAACACCCCCCAGAGAGAATTTATATTAGGGCCAGAGAACTATGTGTTGATGGCCCATTAAGGACAGTCAGCTCACAATGGGCCTTTTAAGAAATTTATCCCACCCAGTAAGCCTTTCCTGTGGATGCCTCAGGAAGAACAGGGGATGGCTGCCTCTGTGAGTCATCAAAGCATGTAAGGGCATTAGGGCTGCCAACTTCCTAATCCCACAAAACCGAACACCCTAGCCATGCCCCTTCCTCAAGGCCACACTCCCTGCCCCACCCCTTCCCTGAGGCCCTGCCCCCCGCTCACTACATTCCCCCTCCTGGCTGCCTGGGAGACAAGGGAACCTGAGTAGAGTAATGCTGGGGAAAGGCAAGAGGAGCTGGAGAGCTCCAGCCTGGCAACTCTCCAGGCTGCAGGCCTTATGCAAGGCCTACAGAGGTACTGGGGCTGCAGAGGTGTAGCGTGGGGTTAGGCAAAGGCAGCCGGTCCAACCCCCCCTTGCCAGTGATGAGTGGTTTACAGACTGCAGTTTGCCCCAGGGAGCGGGGGCTAAAGGATGACTGGCAGTAACCACTGAGGCAAGGTGGGGATAGAGGGTTGGGGGTTACTCTGGGAGGGGAGACCCAGATGGTGGGTTACTGCTGGGGCAAAACCCCAGGGTAAAGGGCACTGAGGTCCAGAAGGGACACAGGGCCAGCGGCAGGTGAGACACTGGCCAGTAGGGGCACTCTGAACCTGGTGAAGAGCTAATTCCCAGGACAACCAGCAGAAGGCGCCACACTGAGTCAGGCTTCGCTACAGACCCTAATTCTGATTAAACTGGTTTTCAGTAACCACTCATCATAAAGTCCAGTGTCTGGGTGGTGAGCCAAGGGCTGGAATCTCTAAAGAGATTGTGTTTTTGACTTCTTGTTAACCAGTGTGGTGACACAGAAGTTCACTTTTGTTACTGGCTTGGTATAATCTAATGATAGAATAACCACCAGTTTGGGGTGCCCTATTTCTCAGCACTGTGTCCTGAATTTGGTATTCTCAGGCCTGATCTACACTGGGGGGGGGGATCAATCTAAGTTGCACAACTTCAGCTATGTGAATAACGTAGCTGAAGTCGATGTGCTTAGATCTACTTACCACGGTGTCTTCACTGTAGTAAGTCAACAGCTGATGCTCCCCCATCGACTCCGTCTGTGCCTCTTGCCCTGGTGGAGTACCGCAGTCGACGGGGGAGTGCTCGGCAGTCGATTTATCACATCTAGACTAGACGCTGCCCGTCGATCCAGCCAGTAATGCAGACAAGCCATCAGCTGTGATCCACTGAGGCACAGACACAACTAAGCCAGCCAGCCAAACTGGCAGTTGTGAGAACTGTACTGACTCCAAATGCGCATTTCACATGAGCTGTTCAATGGCTATCAGAAAATAATGGGGTTCAGCAACTGTTCACCTGAGCTGGATCTGAAGAGATGACTGAGAGGTAAAAGCTCTGTATCAAATTACCAAATCATATGTGCCATCAAGTGAACTGAAACAATTTTTACTATATGATGGCTTGTGGTTTGGATGAAAGAAGATTGGGTTCTAATAGAGAGGTGTCCACAATACAAGAATCGTTCTCACAATTATTGCTAATTGATACTTTTATTGGCAGTCTAATCATTGATAGCAAAGGATAGAATAGGCACGAATGGTAGACTGAGCCTCAGTTTGTTCTAGAGAGTGAAACATATTGCTAGAAAGCTGTGCGGAAGCTTACATTGCCACTGCTTATATTATGTCTGTTCCATGGTTAAAGGACATCATTTTCCCATGCTGTCACTCTGCCATACTTCATAAGCAATATATTCCTTTTCAGAGACACGGTGAAAAAAAAAGACGGATAAAGATGGCTTAAGAAGTCAAAAAGCTGTCAAGGGGAAAAACGGGTTGTATAAGACTTAAGGATCCAAACTATAAAGATGACAAAGAAAAATACTAACCAATACTGAATGGGTATTAAGGAAAGAAAATACTGCAAATAAAAGAGGCATTGCCCAGGAAGTAAAGGAAAACAATAGAAGATACTTTTAATAAATAAAAAGAATAGATCAATAAGGAAAGCCAGTGAATCACTAGAGAACAGTGGAAAGAACTTAACAACACAGGAAGAAGATCCAGCAGAAAAATTCAAGTTCTTTATCTCACTGCTCATAAGGGAAATTGGAGGTGAGATGACAGAAATGAAAATAACGTGTCTGGGGCAACACAATGAAAAATTAAAGGCATTAGGCAATCACTCCAGAACAAGTTTTGTGTCATTTAAAAATCAATAAAAACAGATGGGTTACACATCAAGATGCAGAGGGAGATGGCACAACAGATCATTAGCAGAGTTATTTTTAATAGTATCTATGAAAGTGGTGAGATAACAATGGGCTGGAGAGATGCAAACATAATGAAATTCTTTAAGAAGGAAGCTATGGGGAGCAAAGGAATTAACTCTGGCCTTGGTGGCAGACAAGATCCTAGAGATAATCAGTGATGAGATCACAAAATAACTAGAAAAATATGACGTGATAATTAATGGCCAACTGTTTCATAAGGGATAAAGCTTCTCAGTTAGAAATTTTAAGATGACATTACAGAAAAGAAACAGAGGCGAGGCACAGACAGATACTGCTTGGATTTCCAAATGGTGTTCCATAAAGTAAGAGATGAGGTAGGTGAGGTAAAATCTTTTATCAGACCAACTTTTGCGGTGGAAAGTACAAGCTTTTGAGCTCCACAGAGCTCTTCTTCTGGTCTGGGGGAGGAGGCCCAATCCAGAGTGTCTGAGTTAAACACAAGTTGGGATAGATTGTTAAGCAGAAGGCATAACGTGTTGGAGCCAGTCACTTGAAATGAAGTGGGCAACTGGACATTAGATTGTTAAGCACAGATTGTTTAATTGGGCAATTAAAGGTAGCAGGCAATGTGGTGCGGTACAAACTGTTATAATTAGCCATAAAATCAGTGTCCCTATTAAAGTCCATGGTTTTTGGTGTCTACCTCACCTACCTTCTCTCTCTTATATTCTGGGACCAACATGGCTACAACAACACTTTAATGAAGTAAGACACAATGCATAATCTAGACAAGTCTAATACATGGAAGACAGCATGTCCTTGAATGAACAAAAAAATGGATTGGCAAAAGCAGGGATTGCAAAATGAAAAGTACAGAGTGAATAAAATAATTTTATGTATGAAGAGGGTGAATAAAAATCATTCATTTGAACCATCAGATAAGTGACTAAATATGTTAGCATGCCCATTCCCTGTGTTTCCCTTCCCCATACACTTACGATGTCTCTGAGTTTCCACCTTTTAAGGACTGTCTCATCCTTCCCTTCCTTCAAGCTCTTACATCTCCTGTCAGAGTCAGTATTGTTTCTAGTTTCCTTGCCCTCCACTCTGCTCCCCCTATATTCCTGTGTCACTTACAGCTTTACTACCTTATTCTGTGATCTTGTAAATTCTCAGAAGTTATGCAGAGATGGGCTTGGCTAATATTTGCAAATAGGGCCACAGAGAAAAAAAATCCAGGTACTGAGGCAATACAGCACCAATTTCACCAAGATGGCGATAGGAGGCACTGTGCTGCTGGAGGTACTGACTTTCTGATGAGATGCAAAACTAAGATCCAGACAATGTGTGCTTTTTAACTATCAAACGGCACTCTTTTCAAGGGCAGAGGTGGTGTTAAGCTCAATGCTGGGGTCATATTCCATTCTGCCTACCTAAATACCTTTGGGAGTTTTTAGCTACAGCTTTACTTCTTGTCCTACATTTCTATGTAGTGTGGTATGCTGTTAAGTGGTTGCCATGTTCCATTCCAGAGAAGGCTGCATTTCAGTGGTCTGTGAACCAGATCCTATATATATATATATATATATACACATTTTAAAAATCTTTGATATCCTTCAGGATGAAAGCCATTATTTATAAATTGTGTAAGGTCTGAGGAGGAGGATTATTTCTGTCCCGCTGTGTTTGACTCTTTCCCTCACATTCTTCTATTGTTCTCTTCTCCCCACCCCCCACCCCATTAGTCTGCTTGATCTTGCGCTGTGTTCAATGTTCTGGCACAGAAGAGGTCTGTGTCAGGCCTTCAGAAGATCAGGACTGTAGTAAATGTCACTTCTCTGCCAGCATATTTTAACACTGTGAGGCACATCAGAACAGAACACAGTGTTATGGGGGAGGGGACAGAATGAGATAGTAAATTCTAAAAAAGACTTTTGTGATGGGGAAAAAAGTGTTCAATTAACTTCCCTGCTACAACAGCAAAGGTAACTAGCCTCCGACTACTGCAGATAAGACATTTAAGACACCTACAGGGAGGAGGAAGATCAGGTACACAAGCACTGTAATGACTGGTCCTGAAACTGATCCTTCCTCCTTGGCAAGAGACCCAGTAACCTTCCTACAAGTCCCAGGCTCCTTAGTCAGCAGAGCCTTACCTCAGACTGGATAAAGGCACCTTGTAGAGTGATATTAGAGCTTTCTGGTATCAGGCCAAGGTATTGCTCGTTTTGTCATATGCCTGTCTAAAAAAATAATTACTGATGATAGTTAAAAGACAGGAAGTGTTTGTAGTTTACCTGAAGCCTCAGGATGATAAAGGCTGGAAGCATTTGTTATTTGTCCTGGCTGATGGAGGCAGCTATCTGAGGACCTTTGACTTGCAATCAAAATCCTACTTTTTGCAGAGGGCAACCTGGAAACCGCACCCAGTCCTAACTGTGGTTTAAGTATCATGGCAGATCGATAAAAACTTGGAGATACCTCATAGTGGGTATATGGCGGAGAACAGAATTCTTCTTTCATAGGCCTTTTCCCAACCTATAGAGAAATAAATGAAACAGATATCACTGCAGTGTATTCACATATCCAGGAAACAAGGAGCTCACATTTGCTTGTAAAGACTATGACTAATTTCTCCTTTTTGTGGTTGCTGGTTTGAGATCAGCATGGGAGATTCAAAATGTGATGGTCTGAGCCTATTGATCACTAGCCACGGAATAAAAATTTCATTCACAACCCAGCCAAATGCAACACACCGCTGACCCTTGCTCTCAGAAAAAGCCTCAAGTAGTGAAAATAAAGTGACACTATTAACACCTGAAAGGTAAATCTCCTTTCCCTCACATTCTCTATTGAGAATGATGTGCCAAGGAAATGAGTAAAGGGAATTTTTGTTGGATGTTATTTAAAATATTCCTTATTTGAAGATAAACTAGACCTCTTCTTTTTTAAACAAAGACACTCATCTCTAGCAACGTTTCTTGAATGGGCAAGTTGTCTTTTATTACAATAATGTGGAGAATTTAATTCTTACACCATAATGAATGAAACAATTAGAAACAAAGTTAAAAGTACTTTTTCCTAATTTCATCAGAAAAATAATCTCATTTGAGATTAATATGTTCAGATTCATTGTGATGAATAAATACAAAGAAACTTGGCCTTATTTGTTCACAAAATGACCCTGAGTCCTATGAATTTATTTGCTATTCATAAGCATTTGCCAGATAGTTTGGTATGAAAACATCAGCATACGGGCTAATCACAAACTGTTCACTTTGGCTTTTGTTATTCATTATTGATGTCTGTATGTATGTTATGTAAGTAGTAGGTAACCTAAATCACATGGTGCTGTTTCTGCTCCTTGAAACTGAAGCTTCTTAAAAGAGAGAAACATTTTTGACAAATGTGTGGTCCAATTCATGAAACTTTCAGGATTCATGTCCCAGGCTGTTGTCTGAATGCTGATGAAAGTCACAGCCCCACAAACAACAGCAGAGCAAATTCTCCACATAAAGGCCACGAACCTGCAAAGACCTATACATGTGCTTAGCTACACACACATGTGTAGTCCCACTGAGGCTCGGTCTACACTACAAACTTATGTCAGTTTAACTGAAATCCACCCTCTGAGTGCACTATGTGAATGGGAGGACTTCTCCTGGTGGCATAGCTACCAACTCTCAGGGAAGTGGAGTACCTATGCTGATGGGAGAAGCTCTCCCGTCGGCTTAGGTAGCGTCTTCACTAAGCGCTACAGCTGCACTGCTGCAGCACTTTAAGTGTAGACCTGCCCCGAGTCCACCTCTTCAGGCTGTGGGCTGCTTTCCATGACTTGGGATAAAAGAACACAGCAATGTCACATACTTATGGGTGTTCACTTCTCCACAATTTGCTAAGACACATTTACACTATTGCCCCCAATTAGCACTCTGGGTTGGAGTCCAACTTTTGTAGACTTTTCTTTTAAAATATAAATCATAATTCTCTGTTAAGGACCCTTTAATATTTTCCAGTGTGAACCAGTTAGGGATTTGGGGGAGGAGGGAGTGGCTTGAAAATCAGGGCTAAATTTATTTAAAAAATTAATCAAAAATTACATATGCAGAAGTATATCTACTGATTAATGAATTCTGCCGTAAATTACAATGTATTTAATATGACAAGCCCATATCTTTTCAGCAATTATAAGCATTTAGAGGATGCGTGGCTATAGGAGCTTTGATCCAAACAGGTTCATAAGCACATCTTTAATATTCCAAAATACGTAAGATTGGCCTTAAACTATTACAGAAATCAGTTTAGAATCTTTTAGGGTTTTGCATATTTTATACTGAAATTCTGATAAGACAGATATTGTAGATATTTAGGGCTTGTCCACACTTAAAACGCTGCAGCTGCGCTGCTGTAGCACTTCAGCAAAGACACAACGTATGCCGACAGGAGGGGTTCTTCTGTCAGCGTAATTCACCGCCCTGAGGGGAGAATTCTCCTGTCGACCTAGCGCTGTCTATACCAGGGGTTAGGTCAGTTTAACTGTCACTCAAGGGGTGTGGATTTTTCACACCCCTGAGCAACGCAGTTATACCTATCTAATTTCCTAGTGTACACCAGGCGTGAGCATTTTATCTTTGCTCTACATTTCTCACCATAAATGTAGCCTCATTTTCCACCATTAAATCTTCAATGACATTCTTCTTTCTTTGTATTATACTTATATGCCTACTTTTCTATTTTAGAATTCAGGTTTTTATTACTTATGTCTCATTCCTGATGCCTTACTTGTATGAACTTATAAAAGTAAATTATCTTAATTTTTCAAAATTAATCAATGCAGTAGCTTTACTGGAGCTTTTAGGTATGAGATTGTTTTCCTGGTTAAGATCTGGTTACCTTTTCTCCTCATATGAGCATATTTCAGCCAGATTTCATTATACACTTCCTATCATTTTGTTTATAACTGGCAGTGAATAGACCAACAACAAATTCCTAAACAGAAAGAACAGAGAAATTCTTTGAATATAGAGACCATGCATTTTTAATAAGCTGAGTTAGTTTTGCCAAGGCTTCAAACTGCTTGTGTTAATCTTTATTGACAGTGATCTATAGGTAAGACAGCAGGGCTGCAGACATGAAAAGATGATCACAGATTTAAAATGAATCCTCTGGTGGAATCCAGGAGGACTTGCCTGATCATTTCTCAGCAAATACAGTAAAAGTTTGTTTAAAAAAAATTCCACACACAATCGCTCTATTTTAGTGAGACAAAATTGCTGTTTGTGGATTGAGTCCATTTTTACGGTTTGTACTTTGGGACAAATGTAGATAGGGTGTAATTTGATTGGCTTCAGTGGAGTTGTATTTGATTACAAGGCTGGTTTCGGCCCATGGTATTCTGCATTCGCTATTTGGTGCTTTTAAAGAATGAACTGATATATCCTGTTAAAGCTCCTGACTCCTGTAATTTTAGGCTTCTGATTACATATGCCATGGTATGCAATAAATATCTCCTACTCACTCTATGTATAAACCGATGTGATGAAGAAAGCTTCAACCACTTGAAAAGTCAGCAGTAAGTGCAGGTTAGCAGCTGAAACGTCCACAGTATGGCTAATTCTAAACAGACCTGGTAGTGATGCATATCGTTAAGGTTTCCCAGCATTTTCCATTATAAGACTTTACAATCTTTACATATAATAAACTTTACATTCAGGACAAGCTTTTCCTAGTTGGGTGTCTGTGCTCTGGTGATTTATTTATTTATTTATTCATTCATTCTTTTGGTTCAACCTTTTCTGAGAATGAGATAAGGGAAAATTATGGAGACAAGGTGGGTGAGGTAATATCTTTTATTGGACCTACTTCTGTTGGTGAGAGACAATAAAAGGTGGCACTGGCCTGGCTACAAATACACTGCATACAAGGGAAAATTATATTATATGGCCCATGTAAAATAAGATTCTTGTAGCCCTTTCATTGAAAGATTCTACTGGCCTCCATGCTTTGGAGCAAGGACTTGAAATTTGACAGGCAGCAGTACCAGAACATACCCCCTCAGGGTGTGGCACTGCAATCACCCTGCCTCAACTTCCCTTCGTCTCCAGTAGTCCTCTACATCTTCAGCAAGGTTCAGTTATAGAGGTGACTTAGCCTTCTGGCTAGGGTACACAATACCACCCCTTCCAGGGTAACCAAAGTCCAAAGTAAAACACCAACATCAGTTTTCCACCCTGGGCCCTGGGCCAGGCACAGCCCCTGTCCACAGGGTCTGACTGTTCCATACAACAGTCTTTGGCCCTTCTCTTGGGCTCAACTTCCAGCCCTCCTGGGCTCTGGTCAGTCCCTTTTCTTTCCCCTTAGTAGCAAGGATTGCTGCATCCCTACTAGGGTGGCAGCATTGGGAGAACACACACCTAACCTCTACTGTGGGTTCTTGACCCTGGGAACCCTAAACTACTGGGCTATATGCCACATAATTCAAACTCAAGCTCATTCTACCTTTCCTTCCTAGAGCTTCTTCCTATGTACAGGCCTGGCCTCTGAAAAGTCTTTTCCCTCAAGTGTTTTTAGCTCCAGTCCTCAGCTAAAATTCCTTCCCCCTGTGAACAGTGTATCCACAGCCCTTCTTTCCTGGGGCTGTACTTTAATCCTGGCAGGCCTCCCTGGCCGATCAAGATTCTGATTCTACCCCCTCAGGGTCATCTCTCCTGACTCTTGGCTTTCCCCTCCACTGAGCTAAGAGTGGTCCTTCACAATGCTCTGGAGGTGGTCACCTGATTCTGGTATTTGGCCCCCCTTCCCAGCTTGGTCTGCTGATTCTTCCTGAATAACTGAATTAAAGGTGCCATGCTTTAGAACAGGGCTGGCTGGCCCCAGGACCCACTGCCCTTAACAGGACAGATCACCCTGTTACAGCACCTGAAACTAGTGGATACTAGTGCCTCAGTTCCTCATCTGTAAAATGGGAATAAAAATACCACCTCACTTGACAGAGGGTATTACAAAAATTAATTAATATTTGTGAAGCACTCAGATACCATGGTGATGAGCACCACCAACAAACTCATTAGAAATTAATAATTCCATCTTCAAAGAGGGATTTGAATTGTATGTAGTTAATAAGGCCGGGGCCACACAGTGAACAATGAGGATAAAACAAAATATTGAATAGCTGCTCATACAGTGAGCACCTTCCATCCTGTGCACTGGGAGTATGTGTGTGGGGAGCGGGGGAATGTGGAAAAAATAGTATGTGACCATGTAAAGACTGTATCATAATGTAGCACAAGTCCCAAGTAAGGGGCAGTAAGTAGCTGGCCCACAAACTAACCAGGGACCCAATTGTGACCCCTGCTTGCCCACTCCCATGCCCACCTGCACTGGAGGGGGTGTAGTGGCACAGAAGCAGCTGCTCTGTAACTGACAATGCGGGTAGCCTGCACTCCCACACTCCCCAGCATGGATCAGGAAGGTGAACCATGATCTTGCCCAGAGTGATCAAACTGGAAACAGACATCTTGGCAAGAGGGTACTGAATGGGCCATAGGGAATTCAGTTATCCTTTGACTGCATGGCAAAACAGGGACTTCCAAAGCTGGGGAAAGGAAAATTCTGTTATTTTGAGAGAATGGTTAATATACCCACCCACTTCAAAAGAAACAAGACAAACATTTTACTAAACATTATAAATTGTCTTACAGCAGCTTTGAAAATCCCTGTTTTTCTGTTCGTTCAAATCAGAGGCAAACTCTTCTAGTCCTACTGCATGTCACCAGTCCAGAGCTCTTGCTGGACATACCTGCCAACCTTCCTCTGGAGGAGGAAAAGCCCCTGTTTACCATAGCAAATAGTGACCATTTTCTACAGCTGTCTCTTCAAAAGGCTCGCCCAGGCCCATGTATGTCAGCGGAGTTAAGAGACATGCCTTTCTCTCTCTCCAATGTTCCCATTTATAGCTTTTGAATATTAGGGGGTGATTGTGTGCTTCTGGGAAGCACTGTGACAGTACGGCAGCTTCCAGCAACAGACCATTCGCCATCACCACGTCAGTGTCAGAAACAGTTAACAAAGTTTGTTTACAATACCCACATATATCCCAGTATTGATTTACTGTTTTCAGGTTTTACCGCCAATCTCTGCTATTTTCCTCAAAGAAATAAGTAAACAAACGTCAATAGGTGTACAAAAGAGGTGGTTATCTCCTTACCTCCTGTAAAAACTTTTCACTCATTTGACCAAAATGATGCCCCGGGGGTTTAATGCCAGATACCACAAGTCCCGAACCATAGATTCTTGGCTTCTGCAAGTCGGGTTTAAATTTGTCATACAGAATGTTAGATGGTTTAATATCCCCACCACTCAATATCTGCTGTTCTTTTGCCATGGGCATACCACACACAGGGGGACCATACGGCAGCTCAGTTGAGGCAAAGGAAGGGTCAAGATGGTCTATAGACTGAGGATTTCTTCTAATGTAAGTGATGATCTTAGGTCTCACGTGTTTGGGTTTGGGTATGACAGGTTTTATCTCAATGTTTTCTTCAGGCTTTTCACTGCTGTCACTCTCCGCATCACCCTTGGCTGTAAGGGAGCCCTTGGAATGCACAAGGATTGGTTTGGGGATTCCACTGTTCACAGCAGTCTTGATAGGCACTTTAGGGGATATGTTTAACAACTGGGTACTGTCAATGGGAGGTAGGACTGAGGAGGGTGACAGCTTGTCAACATGAAGTGCATAAAGATCCTTTAAATTGCTGTTTGAAATTGTGGGCTGATTATTAACATTCACAGTTGCCACTGGGCGCAAGGAAGTTGGGACGCAGAAAAAGGCATCAGCCCTTGCTGAAATTTTATAACTCTCTGATGCTTCATCTGAAAGATATTTCTTTGCAATAGCTGTCTTTTTATTCTGAACTGAAAAGCTTGCAGTTTCCACATCACTATCCTGGTTGTTTGGCTGTTCGTTTGACATTGTGTCTGTACTAAGCGCTCTGTGTTGATCTGAGAGATCAGAGGCAGACACTGTGGTGTTTTCAGTGTTCCCTTTGACTAGCATCAGTTTATTCTCATTAACTTTCATGGTTTTGCTGTAAGGGAGACTAACGTTGTGTAGAAAAGATATATGCCCACCAACTGTTTGAATGCAACTTGTACCAGCTTCAAGTAAGTTTCTATTTCTTGTACGTGTCAGTTTGCCACTCGATTTGCTATCATCAGTAAGAGGAAATACAGATCCAATTTCTTTGTCTGTTATGTATTCTTGACGACCTTGATTAGCTGCCCTGCTTTCATCATCATTACTTCCTCTTCCTAACCCAGGGCAGGTGTTATTACCACTTCGTAGTCTGTCCTCAGCATAGGCTACCACTTGGTTTAAGAGCGGATCCCCTACTTTACTACAAAAGTCTGGAAACTGGGGAGCTTGCATTTTGGACACTTCAGCTCCACATCCTTTCTTCTCTTGTACTAATGTACTTTCTTCTCTTTGACATCCTAGAAATTCTACCAACATAATTCTCTCAATTTTTTGTTGACAAATGTTCTTAGATGGTACAAGTGGTGGATGTTTTAGCTCCAGTTTTTTACTCGTATGACCCTGACCTACTTGTGCTTCTGACTTACTAGAGACTTCACTGGGCTTACCACTTAAATTTAGATCTATGTGAGTAGGATGCAGTGTGCTTTTGCTGTTAACATTTGGTACATCTTCCACATCCATTTGGCTCTCTGGGATATTTACTTCCTTGATCTCTGAGGTAGATGGTTTTGAATAAAACACCATATTTTCCTCTGAGGTATTGTCAAGTGGATGAAAAACCATACCTAGAAAATGATCCGCTGGTGTTTTCTGTGATTTCTCAGTATCAGCAATCAAATGATGTGATGTATCAATGGAATCCAGTGATGCAGAAAGTGAACGTTTACACGACACACGTTCTTTTGAAAATGCTTCTGTTTTAGTAGAAAATTTACTTGATCTTCCCAAAGAAAGCCTTTTTATTCCTTCAGCCTCCATGGTCCTGATCATTTTATCCTTAGAAATATGCCGGGTAAATTCAACATCATCTTTTGAAAGAACCTCTGAACTGGTATCATTTGCACTGCTCTTCAAATTAGACAGACTTTTTCCTCGGCTAATACGAATATTCTTTGAAGTATCCTTAACTTCATCAGTCTTGTAATCTTTATCCAATTCCCTGTTTACGGTAGAAGGCAACCTAAATTCTTGTACATTGATGTCACAAATCTGAGATTCCTTAAAGACCAGAAGTTTATTCTGCTCTGTATCCAACTGCGTAATGTTCTCTGACCCACCAGTATGCACACTTCCAGGATCAGTTGTCAAATCACATCTCTTGACTTCCCCTTCAGTGCTTCTGACCTTTGTCATAATTTGGTTGGCATTTGTATCTCCCATACTTATTATGCTTTCATTGTTATTTTTTATTTCATTTCTGTTGTCCTGCAGCTGGGTGTAACATGGCTCACTTGGTACCAGTGATGCACTCATTTTGAAATTTCAGGTGACTGCTTTTTTGACAGTCCTATTTAAGGAGCAAGCTCTCTCTTCAACCAGTTTAACTACTATGCAGGCTTCAGTTAAGGATTTAAATTACAAACTGATCAGTAGAAAATTCTCTCTCAAGTTGTTTGGAGTCTTGTTAGATTCACATTTTTATGCTGCTTCAATTGCTTTCAGAGCAGCTTCCAGACTTGAGAAATCTTTTTGACATACAGTAGAGATTTAATTAAAGCAAGAGATATCCATTAGGTTCCCTCAGAATGAGAGCCAGTTAGTCCATTTAACCTATAAGGGAAGAAGAAAAAAAATCACACATGTTGTTAACTCAGATGTGCATCCACAGATTAATGTTTCTTAACACTTTATGTAAATTTTCGATTATTGCTAATAACAAATATTTGTAGACCATGGCCTGGTCTACACCAGAAAAGTTGTATCATAATAACTATGTTGGAAAGGGGTGTGATTTGTGTGTGTTATACCCACACAAGCACTAGTGTGGATGTAATTATATCATAGCTTTTTTCGCTTCCCATACAGGAAAAAGCTACACTGGTATAAGCACTGGTATACCGATATAACTGAGAGAATTATGCCACGTAACTATCCCAGTATAGTTAAAATGACAACACTTTCTAGTGTCGACAAGTCCCGAGGAACAAAATTCTGGCGACTTCAGGGAAAGTATACTTGGCTTCCCTCCCTCCCCCAAATAGCAGTGATACACACACTAAGGCTATATCTACTCTAGGAGCTAGGGATGGGCTTCCATGCTTGCAGACACATACCCATCCTAGCTCAACAAGAGCTAGTGTGAGCATAAGTAGCAGCCGCGGTAGCACGGGTAGCTGCAGTGGAGGCGTGGCTTAGCCGTGTTCGCCCCACCAGTTTCGGGCAAGTTTGTAGTTGGCATGGCTAAGCCGTGCCTCCACTACCGCTGCCAGTGCAGCTGCTCTACTGTGTTGGGCATATTAGCTCAGATCTGAGCTAGTACAAGTATGTCTACACCAGTTGGAAATCACATCCTTAGTTCGTAGTGTAGATGCTAAGCTATGTTACAGCCATCAAAGCAGACCCTCCCTGATTTTTTTAATAGGGCGCTAAAAAGGAGCAGGCATCCTCTGTCAACGGCAATGTCTAGAAGACAGCTTTCTACACTTGTCTCCTCACATTTTATCTCAAGTCATTCAAAAGTAATTATTAATAATGAATAATATTTAACATGTAATAATATGTACATTTGGAAAACTAGAAATGAGCCAAAGTTGCAAAACTGAGACCCAGTTTTGAAACCACCATCCATACCCTAAGATACTGAGATTCCAGTTAGAAGGTACTGGATCAGCCCATTTTAGAGAGACGCTCTATCTACAACATCTGGATGCAAGTTTAGGTCTGTATTTCAAAATCCCTCTAAGCTCAGAGGTTCCAGTTCAGCCCATTCTACAAAAGGGCCCTGATCCTAACTTTCAGATCAGAGTTCAAGTCCAGATTTGTGCATGTGTGCACACACACACACACGGTTTGGATTCCAGTTTCTGGCTCAGTTCCCTCTCTAGAACAAACATTAACTGATTACATTAATTCATGAAACAGGACATTATATCAGAGCTCCATTTCAATATCACAGAACCGTATTATTATGCATCTTATCCTTGGAGCACTTTAGGATATGAATTTTAAATTAATGCTATGTTCTGCCCTTACTCCCAGAGATTAAATTATTGAACTGATTGTAGATATTTAAAGGTTTCATTTAAAATTTGGACTTTCTCCAATTAAAATCTTTTGCAGAATTACAGTACCAGAATTTACACATTAATTGTGAAGGCTAAACCCTCAACCTACAGGGAATGACTCATGTTGCTAAATGGTGACCCTCAGGTTCTCTGGTAGACAGTCAATGGTTAGGGTGCATGGCATCAAAGGAAAGAGATTTTAAAACAAAAAGAACAGTGAGGAGAGCCTCAGGGCTCAGAAAAGGATGGGAAAACTCAAATTCAGCCTCTACCCACCATCCCTTCCCTCTTCCTAATTCCATCCTCCCACCTCCAAAAAACCTCAAACACTATACATACTACAGTTGCACTAATAAAGACATAATAGAGAGGATACATAGCAGAATCTTGTTTTCATTGTGTAATTTGCTGAGAAGGAATGAAAAACAGAGCTGATATGAAACAATGGGTTTCCTTTCCTCACCACTCCCCCTGGGGGTTAGGGAGAATATAAGAGAAGAATGTCATAAAAATTATGGTTCCCAGGTATGTAACCTAAGTTAATGCTATGAGTCACTATTTGACATATATTTATATGGTCAGAATCAAAGGTATGAACTATGCTTATTCAGAACAGGTGCTCAGTTGTCAGTGTTCCATGCCTTTGGGGGGGGGAGCACGGGGCGGAGGGAGGGAGGGGAGCAATGCTATTGTCATAGGCTAATTTGCATTCTGTTCCATTACTTTTGTATAGAATGTATGAACAAAATAGTATTTTAACAAGAAAAAATAAACAAACAAAACTAAAACCCCAACCTTCTCTTTGTCACTTTCCTCTCACCAGTTATGCAGATCACTTTTGAAGTACACGTAAGGAAATATTATTCACAAATGTGTACTGTGCTTGCCAAATACAATTTTTCAACCAAAGAAAAACCAAGAGCCATATATATTCACCTCTTAGTCAACAAAGTAAACTTGTATTTGCTTAGCGTGTGGAATGTACGTGATTAATTTTATTGGGAATATGGTTTCCCCGTAGTGGAAAGTTGACCAATCTGACTAAATTGAAGAGATGTGCTCAGGCTTTGTTCTTCAGATAGAACTGTATTTCCCTCAAATGGAAAGCGAAACTGACAAGGACAATACAATTTCATTATTTTTTTTAGTAGTGAGTGATCTTGGTGTCAGATATTTTGCAATAATTTAAGTTAGTTTAAAAATACCTTTATCATGTGCTCTGCAGATTAGTAGGGATGACACCACTAGGGTATGTTACTCTCGCCCCTCCCCCCCCCCACTCCTGCAGGAAAACTAATAGGAGAACATCTCTGATATTCCCTCACTGAGATTCTCCCCAGTTATTCTGTCAGCTTGCCAGAGGGAGGGGCTCCCCCCAGACAACAAGCAGCAGGGTCCACCACTGAATTCCACGAAACCCCCAGGATCTGATGAATCCCCTGAACCAAAAGAAGACCAAGCATATTCACACAGATGTCTCATACATCTAGGTCTCTGGCACACCCTGCAGCAGAACTCCAGTGGAGCTACACTGACAGTACTTCTGAAGCTAGCAGCAGCTGTCAGGAGCCCCCTTAAACAGGATCCCTAATGGGAAAGTAAAGGCTTAGATTCAATAGTTCCCAAAGTTGCATTACACAGCCTTCCTCAATAGCACAAGGCGGATGGACCCCTCTGGCCTTGGCCCACTAACTCCTTGTCCCTTCCCCACTCATGGATTCTCGGACCCAGGGAGAACAATCTAGGCGCTACAGCAGCACCAATAAATAAATAAATTAAATAAATAATGTGGCTATCAGGTGCACAATTAGATCTTAAAAAGCGACAAAGAGTCCTGTGGCACCTTATAGACTAACAGAAGTATTGCAGCATAAGCTTTCGTGGGTGAATACCCACTTTGTCAGATGCAACGTATTCACCCACGAAAGCTTAAGCTTCTGTTAGTCTATAAGGTGCCACAGGACTCTTTGTCGCTTTTTACAGTTCCAGACTAACACGGCTACCCCTCTAATTAGATCTTACACATTTTTAAATGTACAATTTGATTAGTACTGTTGCTTGTTGATAGTTTTTAAATAAATGTCTTACAAAATGTTAGAAGGGAGTTAAAAGAGGCATTTAAGATTGTGGTGGATAAGGTAAACACTAGTTAGTACCCCCTCTTTACCCTGCCCCATGATATGAATACAAGTGGGCACTCAATGAAACTGATGGGAGGTAAATTTGAAAAAAAAATTAGAAACACTTCACAGAACATTTGCTTATCCTGGAGCATTCACCACAGTGGAACATTACAAAGCTAAAATGAGATAGTGAAACATCAGGTTTCGGGGCATAAACTGATCACTGATTAATTTACAGCATCAGGTGTTGGCCACTTCCCAAGGGAGGAACCCAATCTACTTATAGATTCTAAGATCAAGAGAGACCAGTGTGATCATCTAGTCTGACCTCCTACATAACATAGGTCAGAGAATCTCAGCCAGTGATTCCAAGTCCATCACTTTTGTCTCACTTGGAGCAACTCTTTTAGAAAGACATCCATTCTTAATTTAAACACTTCCAAGGCTTGACGAATCCACTATATCCTCTTGGTAAGTTGCTTCAGTGGTTAATAACCCTCACTGTTAAAAATGTGTACTTTATTTCTAGTTTGAATTTGTCTAGTTTTAATATCCGGCCATTGGATCTTGTTATGCATTCATCTGCTAAATTGAAGAAACTTTTAGTATCAGAATCTTCTCCCCACAGAGAACCTATAGATTGTGATCCAGTCACCTCTTAACCTTCTCTTTAATAAACTACAGGGCTTGAGCTTCATTAGTCTTTCACTATAAAGCAGGTTTCCCAGACCCTGACTCATTCTCGTGGCTCTTTTCTGAACTCTTCCCAGTTTTTCAACATCCTTTTCAATGTGTGGACACTAGATTTAGACAAAGTGGGTGAAATCCTGGCTCCACTGCAATCAATGGCAGGACTCCCATTTGACTTCAGCGGGACAAGGATTTCACCCAATACTCCAGTAATGGTCTCACTAACACCATATACAGAACTAATGCCACTTCCTTACTGCTACCCAATATTCTCCTATTTATACATCCAAGGTATGTGTTAGCCCCTTAGCCATAGTATTGCACCATCGACTCCTGTTCAGATGGTTGTCCACCATGACCCTAGATACAATCCCCAATCTTGTAAGCATGACATACATTCTTTGATTAGATAGACCAATAGTTGGATCCATGTTGG